CCTATTAATATCAACAGCAGGTGAGGCTATTGACTAACAGGAGAAACGCAACCAATTTTAACAACAGGTGAATCTGGGAAACTACCTATTCATTACAACAGCAGGCTATTGACTAATAGGGGAAACACCATCAAATTACTTTTAACAACAGGGGAGTCCGTCGGCTTACAAACAGGTGAAACTAGGCATGTTTTAACAGGGGATTGTGTTACTGTACGATATGTTGGGCTACGGCAACGGCGCCCCGCCACGCGCTAGTTAAAAACGGCGGGAGTGTAAACAAAGACTAAGTAAAGGGAAGCACGTTCACTGAAGTCTGCTATTTATCAACCCTACATGGCGCAGTGATTGGTTTATTTCTACACACCTACCATGGCATCATGTCGCCCCCGCCTTGCCACTCAAACACCACAATGACAGACACCATGTACGCCAGTAGCATTAGAGCAAGCTCAGCAGATGCTAATGGCTCAGGGTGTAGCCATTGCCTCCTTACAACGGCAGCTGGTACCGCAGCCGGTCGTGCAGCAACAGACACCTCGGACCCCTGCACCTGCAGCGCCACAGAAGTGTGATGGAGTGCTGGTTGGGGCTTAGTGGCTTGTTGCAACCACAGGCAGTGCTGCACATACGCCTCTACTGTACGCCAGCCTTGCAACGCGCCCTGGACGCCCGGTTCACGATGGCAGAGTGGCAGGCATTGTCTACTGAAGAGGCTCTGAACACCATTGGTCGCATCACTCGTCAAGCAACCAACCAAGCAGCAAATTGGTGCAAATTCTTCGCCCTTAACCAACTTCCTAGCGAACCTGTAAGTGACTACTTTGTGTTCAGCTCAGTGTGTTGCAGATTGTGAGTTTCAGTGCCCTCAATGTGATGGTAATCTATCAGAGTATATGCTCCTTTGGAAGTTGATGTCAGGCTTGTACAGTGTGTCACTGAAAGAGAAAGTGTTTCGTATGTGTACATCTTTCAGTGATGTGGACTCACTACGTGAACACTGCATGGCATTTGAGGCAGTTCAAAGAGATGCCAACAATAGTTTTGGTGGAAACGACCGTGTATGTATGGCGGCAGCCGGCGCCATACCACAGGACAGTGACTTGCCGCTGACTGCAGGCACTCGCCACCTAGTTAAACCCCACCCTTGCGGTAACTGCGGCGGCACTCACTCACCAGGGAAGACAGCGTGCCCTGCTAGGCTGCTTGCCTGTCATCGGTGTGGAAAGGTTGGACATCTGAAAAGAATGTGCAGAGGTAAAGGGAAGTGCACAGTGACAGCAGAGGATGTTGAAGCCTCGGGCATTGTGGTTGCTGCTACAAGTAAGGCACCTGCTCAACCACAAATTATGGTGACTGTATGCCACACAAGAGGCTCTTATAAACCTACTACACAGGTGGTGCCACTTGGAGCACATGTGTGGCAGGACCGAAGCTACTAGCTGCCCTCAGAATCAAGCCAGCAATGTTGACACAATGCAAGGGCCTGTGTGATGTAGCGGATGTGTTGCTGAAGCCCCTTGGCTCAGCCACATGCCAAATTCAATATGATGGCCGCTCAACGACTCAGGAGGTCTTCTTTGTTGAGACGGCCAGCCGCTGCTATATCTCACTAGAGCCATGCAAACAACTGGGGCTGGTCCATAGCAACTTCCCTCACCAGCCTCCCATTACAGCGCCCGTTACCACAGACAGTGACTTTTCCCAGGTGGAACATATAGGCAACATCCCACAGAGACCAAAGGAGGTACCATTTCCGCCACTAGAAGAAAGTGTACCACAGTTGAAGGAATGGCTCCTCCGGCACTTCTTAGGATCAACCTTCAACACCAGCCGGCATCCATTGCCTGTGATGGTTGGCAGACCTCATCAAATCCACTTGGTGGAAGATGTAAAGCCCTATGCGTGTCACACACCAGCCCACATACCAAAACACTGGGAGGTGAAGGTGAAGCGGCAACTCGATGAGGATGTGAGGAGAGGAGTGATCAAGCCAGTGCCAGTCGGAGAAGCAACGGAGTGGTGTGCAAGGATGGTGGTAGTCGCCAAGAAAACAGGCCAGCCACGGCGCACCATCAACTATCAAAAGCTCAACAGCGCCTGCCTGAGGGAGACTCACCATACCCCCACGCCATTCGACATGGTGTCTGGTATTCCACATCATGTCTACAAGACATAAGTTGATGCTCACTGGGGCTTTCATCAGGTGGAACTGGAGGAGGCCAGTAGGAAGCTTACCACATTTATTACCCCCTGGGACCGTTACCGTTACCATAGGACGCCCATGGGTCTCTGTGCAGCCCCAGATGCATACACCAGGAGGTATGATGAGGCCATCGCGGGAATCCAAAGGAAACTGAAGTGTGTCTATGACACTTTGATTTACGACTATAATGTGGAGGATGCCTTCTGGCACGCATACCAGTTCCCAGAGATGTGTGCCATGAAGGGCATCACCCTGAAGCCGGAGAAATTCAAGTTTTGTAGGAGGGAACTTGACTTTGTGAGATTCCATGTAGGCTGGGACTCTTATAAGACTACTGATGAACGTCTTGCAGCAATTAGGAATTTCAGTATGCCAGAGACGCCTTCGCTGACGGATATTCGCTCGTGGTATGGATTTGTCAACCAACTAGCACCATTTTTAGCTACAGCACCGATTATGGAGCCCTTCAGGGAGCTGCTGCAGAAACCACAAGGCAAGCGGGTATAATGGGACTCACAGCTTTAGGAGAAATTCCTACAAGCAAAGGACGTGATATGCCAGCTGGCTAAGGACAGCCTGACCTTTTATGACAAGGAGCGACCTACCATCGCCATTACGGACTGGAGTAAAGTGGGCATAGGGTTCATTATCCTGCAACAGTACTGTGACTGCCCAGCAAGGGATGCCCCATTCTGCTGCAAAAGCGGGTGGCGCCTCGCACTGTGTGGCAGCCGCCATCTGACATCTGAGACAAGTTATGCTCCAGTGGAGGGTGAAGCCCTGGCAGTGGCTTGAAGTCTTCGCAAGGCACGGCTGTTCCTGCTTGGCTGCCCTAACCTCGTCATTATTACTGACCACAGGCCGCTGGTTAAGCTTTTCGCCATCAAAGAAAAGACGTTACAATACAGGTTTCAAGTAAAGTATCTAGAAGGCGAGCGAAATCATGCAGCTGATTTTCTGTCCCGCTACCCAGCGCTCTGTGCGCTGCCTGATGCCGCAGATAAGGACCAAGCAGACGACCTGGAGGTCGTTGTGGCTGCTGCAACCACTACTGCACTTTTTGGGGATGACTGTATCACACTTGATTACACCATAGTGCAGCATGTTGCCTCCAAGGACCCGGAGTATCAGCTGCTAATAGCCAAGGAGTCTGCAAGTGATTGACACCAACATCGTACTCAGGAAATGGCCTGTCTGCGTCAGTTCTGCAACGTGAGGGACAGGCTAGCAGTTTGGTGACGTATACATTTGACTAGGGATCTGTTCGCCTTGTGATACCAGAGGCTCTACGTCATCAGGTCGCAGCCAACCTCCATGCAGGTCACCAAGGACTTGACAGCACTTCGGAGGGCAAGGCAGGCAGTGTACTGGCCTGGAATGGAAGGTGACCTGCAGTTCTACCATGATGCCTGTGACACCTGCAACACACATGCTCCATATCAAGCAGCTGAACCTCTCATCTTGACCCCTTCACCAGAGTATCCATTTCAGTTCACGGTTGCTGACCTGTTCCAACTTGAGGGACAGACGTACATTGCGTATGCTGACAGGTGCACAGGCTGGCTAGAGATTAGTCACCTGCCACATGGTGCTACGTCAAGCAGGATAATGGCCTTGTTCCGCCAGTACTTTACACGATGGGGCGTCCCAGAAGTCATATCAACTGACGGCGGCACCAACCTAACTAGTGATGAAGTATGCAAGTTCTTGAATAAGTGGGGCGTTGTAATGAGAATATCCTCTGCTCAGTATGCACAATCAAATGGCCGGGCCGAGGCAGCCGTCAAGTCGGCCAAGAGACTGCTACGTGCACACACAGGGGCCGGAGGCAGTCTGGATTCAGACAAGGTCTTGAAAGCTCTGCTGCAGTACCTGAACACACCCCTTCGGGAAGTGAATAAATCACCTTCCCAGCTAGCCACAGGACGTCAGCTGCGAGACGGAATACCGGTGCACAGGCAGTACTATAAGGTAGGCATGCATTGGCAGCGGGCTCTACATGCAAGAGAACTAGCAACGGCCCGACAACACAGGAACATAGTGGAGCAAAATGGGACACCCAAGGACCCTCGTTCCCCTGACACCTGGTACACCAGTGTGTGTGCAAAACCAAGCCGCAAACGTTTAGGACAGACGAGGCGTGGTTACAGAGGCCCTTCCGAACCGTCAGTACTCCATCAGGCTGGATAGCAGTGGTCGTATCTCGATTCGTAATCGGAGGCACCTACGGCCTGTTCGGGTTACCATGACAACCCCACATCCAACACCTGAACCAGTGAGACGGCCAAAGAGACGAGTCACACGACCTGGGTGGCTCTCTGATTTCGTCACAGACACGCCCACATAATTATATGTATTTGTGTACCCCCTTACTCCGTATAATGTGTCAATATCACAGGGGAAGAAATTGTATTATTTTGATTTTGTGGTGTTTCTAAGTGATTGAGGTACATAAATTTCATATGTTCTTTTTTTTACTAGTCGGATATTTTGTGTCAAAGAGTACACTAATATCTTGGGGGGGGGGGGGGATGTACGATATGCTGGGCTACGGCAACGGCGCCCCGCCGCGCGCGAGTTAAAAACGGCGGGAGTGTAAATAAAGACTAAGTAAAGGGAAGCACGTTCACTGACGTCTGTTATTTATCAACCCAACAGTTACTATCAAGTCGAACTCTACTAGCTTGTCACGAAACGAGGTGTGTTTGTAGGTTGATCAGTGAACCATGTAATTTTAATAGCTGAACAACAGGTAAGTCTGTTGGGTGTAAAACAGGAAGCTGTGCCGATTCAC